TAACATGCATTCCCATGTCTGTTTATCTGAGGATGCTGTGCTGCTGTACGTCTTAGTCAGGGCCATGCACGACTGTTTGGTTTCCTCCCAGTGTTGTTCCAGCCTGATTAATCATGGTATTAATTATTAGCTGTTTGCTCTCCATCATCTACTTCCCCTGGGGTGGGCAAGGTGCCTGTGCTGCCAAGGGCTGGCAGTGGATGTCTCATCCACTATAAATCTGCACGATTAACATCACAGTCATTGAAACACCAATGGGAAGCACCAAACAGTTTGTGTCTTATAAGAGATAACAATGAATATATCACATAACATGTATATAATTACTTGTGTTTTTGTCAGTCTTTGTCACACACGTTTGTTTAAAAATATATATTATGAATTAAAAAAAACTGAATCATGTCGTTCAGCCAAAAAATAAACACTCTGTCCCCCCTGGGACTAGCCTAAACAATGTGAGAAAAGAAGTCTCACATTATCCTGCTTATTGTCCTCAGGACAGGCTGTGATTTTGTCTCAAGTCTATCTGATCTCATATGTGTCCTTTTCTCACACTGCCACCGGCACATCTCCTCTCAAACACACACATACACTCATACACAATCATCTCCCTCAAACACAACCATCGGCATTACTCCTTCAGAGATACTTGTGGAATGAATTGTATCAGAGAAAAATCACAACATCTGGCAGCAATTGTGGCGCCTCCGGCAAAGTGTCTACAAACACCTATGTTAAGAGTGCGTGCGTGCATGCGTGCGTGCGTGCGTGCGTGCGTGCGTGCGTGCGTGCGTGCGTGCGTGCGTGCGTGCGTGTGTGTGTGTGTGTGTGTGTGTGTGTNGTGTGTGTGTGTGTGTGTGTGTGTGTGTGTGTGTGTGTGTGTGTGTGTGTGTGTGTGTCACTGAGGGGACAAGGGGGAGCTTTCAACCATACTCGTCTTTAGGGTAAGAGACAGCTCAGCCCATTACTAATCCCCAGGCCCTTTAATCACATTTACATGTTGGGTGATGTTGATGACTTCTTAAGAAATCATCAGCCAACAAAGAAAGTGCCGTCACTTAAAAGGCTATGATTTTCACTGGCAACATTAGTTTTAGTCTTTACTATTTTAGTATATTTCAACATAACAATATGTAGTGTATTCTCAAGCAAACCAAAATACATTAAAAACAGTTTATAGAAACATAAAACTAATCTATTTATTAATCTCATCTATTTGCCTTCAATAAACCTGAATCATGGGGAGGGGATTATTTTGGAACATAAACAAAGTTGTTTTAAAGAAAAGGTTTTTGTGAAAGGACGGCTTTTATTTGTCCAGAGAAATTCTTATAAATAATATGCCTGTTGCTAGATTTAAAGCATGATTTTTCTTTCCCCTTTTTTATCTTTAGAATCAGAAAAATAAAACAAATGCGGATTCTATTGTATTAATTAACAACTACCAACATTCCCTTGTGGTTTCCAAACCACTTTGAAGATTCCTTCACAATAGACTGCCAGACTTAATCATTTACAAACTGAAGGTGGGAAAAGAAAAACAATTTCTGTGATGTGATGGGATCACAATGCCACATGTTGGCTGATCGCAAGTGCAGGATTTAAATCGTAAAAGAAAAAAAAAAGAAAGAAAAAAAACACCTTTTGGAAATCATGTCAGGAAAAATCCAGGAGTGGAAATGCTGCCAGCTGCGCTTCACCAATGACTGGAAACAAGAGACTTGTTTAAAATCCATTTTTCCTCCCTTTTTTTTTTCTTTTTTGCTTCAAGACAGTGAGATGTTATAATCCTCCATGCATTGTTAGGGCTGTGTGGGACTGGCCGAGGAAAATAGCTTTTTTTGATGGCAATGGATGGGATAGGGAGCTTTGCCAAAGAGGACTTTAGAAGTTAATGGGCCAGTTTCTACATTGACAGTAAAATCTTGCCTTGAGCCAACCGTAGCTTCCGAAGCATTCAACGATTTTGAAGATTATCTTTAAAAGAAAAAAAATGACAATGTTAAGAACAAGATAGATGTTTAAAAGCAAATGTTTTATCAGCACTTACACAAGATGGAATTATCTCTGAGCTAAAGCTGGTCTGTATTGGGGAAACAGTTTTTTTAAGAAATCTTCCCAGATAACTGCTCCAGCATTGAAGTTGCCTCAAAAGCAATTGACATCAAAACTGTATTTAGTTTTGATGCAACACCATGTCAGCCATGGAGTTTCCGTTCTGTGCACGGTTTCTCTCAAACAAATTGCTCCCTGCCGAGACTGTTTGGCACACGGAACAAAGAGCCAGAAACCAAATGAAAACCGTTTTCTCAAAGAGGGATGGTGTTCTTCCAAACACTGACCTTTGTTTCAGCAAGGGAGGAGTAAAACGGGAGCTCCTTCCATGTTTTAAGAATAGCACTGCAAGTCCTGCTAAACCTTTACTACAACAGAGATGAATACTAGAAACAGCACTTTGAAATGGGGCAGATTCAAACAAGCTGCTTTCTTGGCCGTAGTTGTTGTTGTTGTTGTTGGTTTTTTTAAGGTACTTAAATTAAAGAGGAGGTGGTTCCCGTATTTTTTATATCTGAAAAGAAAAGAAAAGAAACTGCTCAGTGCTTGCAGCTATAGTGTGGTAAAGATGCAAGGCTCCAGGCAAAGTTAAGAGTGCTGAAGTAAGTTTTTTTTTTCTCCTGTAAAATGACACCTCTCGCAAACACAATTAATCAAAAAAAGTTGTGGTAGTTGTTGACTGCGACAGGAAAAAGTTGAGAAATGTCAAGGAAGAGAGAGGTTGTCTTATAAATGAGGGCTCAGAATGGTGGGCATCAGCGGTTGTGTTTGCACTTCTCCCTCCCTGTAAGTGTGTTGGTGGGGTTTGCCAGAATCTGCCTGAGAAAAGAAACCTAGCCAATAGGCTACAAGCCATCAGCAGCCAGGTCAGATTAGATTTCTGTCACTGCTTTTGTGCTGATAACGCTACAATGAGTGGCACTTCCCTACCGCCATTTTACCTCGGCCATCCCACACTTGTCAGCCCCTCTGCTGGTCAGATAGTGTCTGTCAGTTAAAGAAGAGATAAAGGGAAAGTCAAGGGAAAGGGATGGTGGTGGTGATCTTCTCTGTTGGTTTAACACCACCATTGAGGGGGCTTTTGTTACCGATGAGGGTCACAAAGAAAGAACAGCCTAAAGACAAAAGGGAGGAGATGAAGGAAAAGTTGACTGGCGCGTTAGCCGGCGCCTCCAAATCAGACTGCTTAATCAGAAGAGACAAGGGATCTCTGGAGTTGTGAGGGTGACCATAGGAAAAAAAAGTGGGGAATAAAAGCTGTCTTGCCTGATTTGCCTTCATGTTCTCTGAGTCCAAATGTTGTTCTGCTCTTCTAATTATCTTTCACTCTGGTTGATAATGTTTTAGGCAACCAAATATAAAGTTATCTACAGTGCTGCTACATAATGTTCTATGTACTTTTCCATCCCACTGCCACTTTAAAACTTTAATTATCTTTTTTTTTATTATCGCCCAATCTTGCTCATTTGAGGTTTTCACCATCTTCTCCATACTAACCAATTAATATTTCATAAGAGGCTCATCACTTTTTCACACATATCACTGATGATTAACCTTCTGGGGTAACTTTGACAGAATAGTCTCCTGGATAGATTTAGTCAGTCTGTCAACAGGCATCAGTTCAAGAAGGATGAGACCCATGTCAAACATTACCTCCCTATTCCAGAACACAGGCACATCTGCCAAACACTATTATTGAACTGGCACCATGAGAGCGTAACCTAGCCGCCCCGTAAGTATTAAAGGTGCACGGTTAAGAAATATTAATGTCATATCCAATCAATCATTATTACCCCAGGGGGAAAAAAAATCCTGTTTAAAGTGTATAAGCATTAGCAATTTTTAGTTTTAGGAATGTCAGGATTTCCTGCTTCTGAAATGTGTCTAACAATGAGGCTCCTCTCTGCCTGTCAAAATATTTTGCCTTTTGTCCTGAGGAATTTGTTCTTTGTCGCTCACAGGTTGAAAAAGGCAATGTCTCCACCTATAGGTGCAAAGGCAACACTGCACCATTTCAACTTTACAACTTTGTTTTCACCCAGATAGACTTTAAAAAAATGAGTGGCAAGCTCTGTCAAAAATAATTCATAAAGTGGTTTAGAGACAACATCAAATATGTATTATGTGTACCCAGATTTTTATTAGTACTTTTAATTTCTATATTTAGCTAAAAATAACAGGTGTGTCTGTTCTTTGGTTTTCCATTGAAAAGAGCACATATTTTCAAAAGGTAACAGAAATATGTGATGTCTTAAAGTGAAAAGTGGACATTAACAGCTTTTGATAATAGTAATTAAACACTAAAAGAAAACATTAAACATCAGCAAATTAACCATGTAAATGATATATTTGTATGTTGGTTAAATACATAGGCATGGAATCTATAAAAAGGACAATCAACGTTTTTATATATTCTTTTATACAGTGTAGTGTTTTAAAGATGCTGAATGTTTGTCAGAAAAATGCATGAAAATGTTAAAAAAAAACTTGGAAACATGGCAAAATTAATTATAAAATACATATGAAGGCATCAAATAAACAAAATACAACCCACCCAAAATGTAAAGCTATACAGGTGTTAAATTTAACATCATTTTCTGTTTTTTTTTATTTTATTTTTATGTTTCTGCTGCTGTTCTGGTTTGTGTAATTAAAGTGTTCTAAAAGACAATGTAGAGATACAGAATGATGCAGGAAATACAAAAAGATGATTATAAGATGCTACCTGGTATGTGGATAGAAATGGTGAGCAGAGTTATGCTTGTTACATGTGTGGATCAAAAAAAATACACACTGCACTTTAAAACATGTTTGTGTTGCTTGGGAAAAATAATTAAAAAAAGAGTTTGTGATCATTTGTTGTTGTGATCCCAATCCACCCCCCCCCCCCCCCCCCCCCCTTCCGCAATAGATAAAAAAAAAAAAAAAAATTTTTTTTTGGGGGGGGGAAGAAAAAAAAGAAGCTTTGCGATTGTTTCCATGAAAATGAGGCTAGGTAAAATCTGCATGCCTGTGTTTTCTCAAAAAATAAAAAATAAAATAAAAAGTCAACATCAAAATGGAGAGTCACACTTTTCTTTTTGCTTTCTTCAAAACAAGGAGTTACATGTGTCTTTTATTCTTCTAACTAAAGAGAAAGTATAAAGTTTCAGTGGGAGGATTAAGGTAAAAACATGCTGAAACAAGAGGCGAGAAAGTGTCCCTGAGCATGTGTGTGTATGTGTGTGTGTGTTTGCACAATGCGTCTCCGTCTGCCTATATGGTCTCCACATAATTGGCGGGGAACAAGCCTTGTCGACCATCTTTGCTCCACCCCCTCCACCAGGCTTTGTCCACTGTCTCCACGTCCCGGATGATGTCACCTGGTTCAAAGGAGATCTCCGTTTCGTCCTCTGTGGGAACCGCGAGATAACATGTTGAAGACCAGATAATCACAGTGTAATTACTGCAAATGGAGGCACTTTATGTGCACATGTCTGGTAATTATCCTCCAAATGGCAGCTTACCTGCCTGGTAGTCATACAGAGCTCGGACGCACATGTGCTGCTCAGCTAAATCCTGAAGTGACAGGGAAATTTAAAAAGAGGCTATAATCAGAAAATATTGCATTTCTTGCTCAACTTAAGTACAACACAAGACAATCAAGGCAAAAAAGTACTTTGAAGACAACTTTTGTATAATTAAATGTACTTTTTATTGTCTCAGAAGACTATTTAGTTTGGTCTACATCATGCATCAGGGACATTTGATAGCACTCAATTATATTAAGGGAATATTATAATAAAATCAGTTTATATAATATATATGCATGCATGGATGAAACACCTCTTGTCCATTTTCTGAGATCTCCTGCATCTCGTCTTCGATGATGTCATTGTCTTCAGCAGTGGTGCGGTGGCTGTAGCAAATGGTCACCTCGGATGTACTGCCCTCTGTGTCAGAAGGACTCAAAGATCTCACTGTGGGAAAAAAAAGTGTTAAGTCTTTAAACTCATCCAGCTAAAACTGAATGAGAAAAAAAGTTAAGCTATGGTCACTACTGATGAACTTCTTGTTTTATGTCAAACCTGTGCCGTTCTGTTCCTCTGTCCCTGCACCATTTGTGATCCCATTGGCTGTCAAGATTACAGTCTCGTGCTTGATCACTTGACAAATCGGTTCATTGTCTGAAATAATAATGACTCAATGTTAGCTTAATAGGATTCGACTTATTTAGAAAGCTGTAGCACACTTTTAAAATGGTTCTGACAGTGTGACAATGCAAGTCACGAGAGAAAAAAATAAATAATTTTAAAAATGACAACACAATGTTTACCTGTGAAGCTTGGTTCCTCCTCTTCCTCTGAAACCTCAGCAGGTTCAACATGGGGCTGGATGTTTCCTGAATGTTTAATCTCCTCTGCATCTTCCTCTGACTCCTCCTCTTCATCCAGCGGAATCTCTGCTAGATCCTTTACTAACACGGGTTCAGTTTCCTCTTCTGATCCCATCACCTCTTCTGATCCCATCACCTCTTCTGATCCCATCACCTCTTCTTCTTCCTTATTCTCCTCATTCTCCCTATCTTGATCCTCCTCCTGTTCTTCCCCTTCTTTGACCTTCTCACATTCCTCTTCTTCTTCTTCTCCTTCTTCTTTTTCTTCTTCTTCTTCCTCTTCTTTTTCTTCTTCTTCTTCCTGTGTCTCAGTCTCTGTTGTTTCTGTGGTAACACCAAACAGCTCCAGTTGGGTTTCAGGTTTATCTTCATCACATTCCTCTACATCCTCTTCCTCGTCTGCCTCCACCAGAACAGCTTGAACTTTAAAACCACTGTCCGACATCTGCGTCATGTGCACTTGACTTGCTGTGCAGAGATCTGTTAATTGGAAAATTATATTATTACAAGTGTCATCTAGGCTGAATGCCTTAAAAAAAAAGGTTCGTGTGGGGCAAGTTATGTTCTGCTTTGAGGCAAGAAACTAAGCAAGGCCAAAAAGAAGCATTTTTTGTGCAAGATTAAGTTTAATATTGCAATGAAGATTGTGCAAAACACTCTTATTTTTGTGTGTTGTATTTTTTGGAGCAGAAGTTGTGCAATTTTTCTTACTTAAATTTCAATTATGTAACTACTTTTTTTGTTGTGACTCTCCATTTTGATGTTGCCTGTTAGTTTGTTTTTTATCCAAGTACTTTATACACTTCTGAATTTCATGTATGATAAAAAAAGAAAAACTTGTATGTGCAGTACATTGAACACACATAGCTTAACTGAATGCCAGTTTGCCATTAAAACTTACCTGCTTTCAGCTCTGGACACGTAGGATCTGTCAGAACTGGTGAAGGTGGACCAGGCTCAAAGGTCAACATTAAGTCCTCCGTCTGGGCAGGGATATTTGGGACTGAGGTTGGACCAGCCTCCAAATGCAACTGAGAGGGGTTGTCATTTATTAAGCTGGGGGTGAAAGAATCCAAAAGGCTGGGCGAGGCCGGTGGTGCTGAGGGTTCTGTGGGTGACGCAGCCTGAGCTCGGTTTTTACTCTGAGGTGTGCTGGGCAGGGCTGAATCTGGAGGAGCGGGGCGGATGGGTGACACGGTTGGTGACGCGGGGGCTCGAGGTCCTGGCGGCAAGCTAAGAGGGTTACCACCGGGGCTCTCAGGGGGGGACGTGGCCCGGAAAAGGGGGGAGGTGGGAGCCCTCGAGAAGGGCGACACCAGGGGAGAACTTTGTGGAGAGGATGCTGAGCTTTCCTCTGCTTTAGAGAAGATGAAGGCTGTGTCTGTCAGGCTGCGCTGGTATCGTCTGAACGGTTTACCTGGAGAAAAACAAAACTGTTTGCTACCAGACCTGAAACACAAACACACTGTTTGTTTGTTTTTTTCTACCCCTGTGCAGACCTTGTATTGACGTCATTTTACAGTCATTTCTACAGCAGAACCCTGAACTCTTACCCTGAAACTAACCACTCCAGTACATACCTGACCCTAAATCTAGCCCAGGTGTGCCCAAACATTTTCCCCGAGGGGGCCAAAATGAAAATCTATCCATGGCTGCGGGCCAAATGCAGTTATATAATACATGAAATACAAATACTTTTTTAAATAAAGTCCTTTATTTTTAACGTTTAAGCTATGCAGTGGCCCACTTTTGTTTTAGTCTGTGCACTTGGAGAAAGTCTGCCATACGCTCAAGTAGCAAAGGCTCATGGGACATATCATAAATTGATAAAATATGAGTTTTTGTGACCTTATAAAGTGTGCAAATCTACATGTGGAGTTAAATCTGATCTAAATATTTCTTGTTGTCGTTTCATGTTTCATGTTTAATCCTAATAAATCAAAGATATGTCAGCACCATGACTGAAAACTACCTTCACTACAGCCCTTTTATATAGTCATTTGACCAATGGAAATGTTTCTACCTATAGGATAACAGGTTACAATCTTGTAACTTTGGCGACTGTTGGTGGGCCAAATCAAATGGCTTGGCGGGCCAAATTTGGACCGCGGGCCCCACTTTGGTCTCCTCTGATCTAGCCTAAACTGAATCCACAGCTTGGTCCTAATCTCCCACAGACCAGGCTTTGGTCCCAACAAGAAGCACTGGGTCCCCACAAGGCTGTTCTCTCTCTCTCTCTCTCTCTCTCTATCTCTATCCCTATCCCTATCTCTATCTCTCGCAGCTCATACCAGTGCAGGAAGATGATCCAGGACTGGTGGGACTTAGTGACGATGAAGATGACAGCTGCCTGAAGAACTCCCTCGGGTTCATGGAGCGTTGGGACACTAACGCCGCTGCCTCCTACGCGTCAACAAATGAATCATAACAAAATTAAAATAAATGAGCAGTTTTTGTTTAATAAACATCGCTCTTCTAGTGACAAGTATTTTTTTTCCAAATGAAGTCACAAATTGCTAATTTAACAGATTAATAAGTGTAAAACACACTTACCGCTGCTTTCTCTATAGACTCACTTCTTCGAAGACGAGCCCTCATTTCATCTTCATGCTCCCTTTGCTGCTGCTCCTGTTGGTTAAAATGCACAGCAGCAATAATTCAGGGATTTAAATAAACATTTTAATAGCTTTTTTGGACCATATAGATCTCATCATTCCTAAGGTAATAAGGTAAATGTTTACCCACTACTTGCATGTCTTAATAAACAAAGTCACACAAGCCCTTCTTCAAAACAGCTTCCTATTTTAGCATTATTTGTAATGACTTTTTGAATAATAAATAAGATATGTTGGTTTTATCTAGTTATATTTGTATTTAGACAATATAGAGAAGTCTTGTTTTGTGTGAGGAAGTAAACATAAATAGGAAAATGTCTGCAAGATAATTACACTCACCCATCTGAACTTCTCCTTCTTGCGCAGCTCTTCTTCTTGTTCGCTCTGTTTTCTTCTGTAAGAAAAAAATAATAATAAAATGAAACAGAAGCACTAAATTTCATTGTCCCAAACACCTTTAATGTCTTTTTTTCTAGACTACACAAAACATGACTATGAACAGACAGAGTGTATTGTTCTAACCTCTGCTCCTCAATCATCTGTAGTTTCTCGTTCATTTTTCTGTCTCTCTCCTCCTCGTCTCTTCGCTCCTTCAGAACCCGTTCCCTTTCGAGGCGACGCCGCTCCTCTATGGCTCTCCTTCGCTCCTCTTCCTTCCTCTCTTCCTCTTCACGCTGACACGCACAAGAAAAAAATGAAATGACGGTGAACTTTCATTATGAAAAATCAAATAATTGGACCTTTTTTAATGACCCTCTTTTAGCCCACTTAGAGCTGAAGCAGCAGATCCAGATAAGTCAAATGTGAAATGATGATTTTGAAAACATAAAAAAACAACTTAAAATGTATATTTCAGAAGCGCTAATTAAATCATTTACAAATATGTTTTTTAATTGAGGGAAAACGTTTATTAAACAGTGTCAAGTGTATTTTTTTAAGTTTGTCATTTATTTTGTTCAGTTTTCAAACATTAACCTTTCACATAATTTCAATTAATATTCATTTCCTTGATTTATTATAAAGTATAAACGTATCTATTGCTACACCATCTTAATTTTCAACTATTTCACCTTTTACATGTTTTACAAATTCAACAATTTCAACACTCTATTCAGTGTTTTCTTATTTGAAACGACAGAAGCAAAAAAAAACCTAAATCAACTGATAACATTCCCCTCTTTAACAATATTATTTGATTAGATTCAACAGCAGCTCTTCAAATTGATGTCTTTAAAGTTTTTTTATTCTCACTATTTGACTTCAATAGATTCAACAAAAGAAAAAAAACAAGAAAATAATTATATAAATGAAAAAAAAGTATTTTGACATACCTCTGCACGTGCCCAGAATGAGTCTCTATTGATAAGCCTCATTTCCATCGCAGCATTCGTTTTTCTGTAGTTTGTTCCCTAGAAGAAGAAAACAAAACAAGATACAAATTCATGGTTTTATGCTTAAAATATGCGTTAAGACACAAAATTATTAGCAATTATTCCTAAAATTAATTGAAGAGCTGAAGTGCACTCCTGAAGTTCAGCCTTAAAAATGATTCCTGCGTAAATTAAAGTCTCTGTCGCCATCTACTGGACAGATGAAGTAGAGCAGGAGTCTCACCACGATTCCCTCCTTGTCTGCAGACCGAGAGCTCCTCCTCACCCACTGTGAAGGAGCATTGGTTTGGGCCTTGCTGAGTTCAGCTCTTATCTTCTCCTCTGTCACATCCTCCAGCTTTTCTGCACTAATGAAAGCATGTGCTTCCTTAAAAAACACAGAGGGCAAGGGATTAAAAAGTGACAGGAGGCAGAGTAAGACAGATGTGAGTTTAATCCACCCTCACATGCCGTACTGTAGCCTCTATTGACACACGCAGTGACACAAAGACAACAGCACACACACACACACACACACACACACACACACACACACACACATACAGTCGTTCTGGTTTGTTTTCTCGTGGTCTGCTTTGAGTTATAGCGCAGAGTTATGAAAACTTGAGCCCAAGCAGTTGTGTAACTGCATCTGCTGTAAGGATGGTGGGAGAGCCGCAAACAGAGAAGGCCTCAGTCTGAAAACAAGAATGTGTTGCTTTGATTGGTTATCCACCCATCCCTCCAGCCCCTGGCTGAAAAAGAAGGGAAAAACAAGGTGGACACACTGTGTTTCTTGAAAAGCAAACAGAGTTTTTAAATATTGTTGCAGTTTTGCTTAGAGCAAATTTTTTTTTATTTTGAACCCATGTCTGTGCATGTACGCAGGTAGATCTGTATGCAGTCGTAATTTCAGAGTCATTTCCCTGAGAAAATAATTCCAGGTTTGTTAACGAACGGCTGGATTTGTCCAACACGAAAGCACAGCTTTCTATGAGTGACAACACTGACATCGAAACACACCATTCAGTGTGCCCGATGACAAATGTCAGTGTAGTTTGCAGTCCATATCAATCTGGCTGTCGATGTAACTGCACAGTTTGTCCAACGACCAGACAAGCAGCCCACAGTTTTACCCATGACAGTGAAGAAAAAAAAACTCTGAACAGAAAACCACAGCTTGATGGAAAATCTCACAGCAGCATGGTGTTGCATTCATTTCTGACATGTGCTCAAAAAACTTTTTTTTTTTCACATTTTCATGAAAAAATAAAGCTCCAAAAAAAAAAAAACCCACCCATTCACATTCTCACTCCCATCCATAGACAGTTTAGTGTGGCTTGTTAACCTAACATGCATGTTTTTAGTCTGTGAGAGGGAACTGGAGTTCCCTGAGAAAACTCACACAAACAGGGAAAGAACATACTAACTCTAAAGCTGGGAGTCAAACCTGCAACCTTTCTGCTGAGAGTCAATCTTTGACAGTCCATGACCACGGATTTTCAATTGTTAGAGCTGATGACTCTCAACAAGAAGGTTGCCTGATCGAATCCCAGCCCAGGGACCTTTCTGTGCATGTTCTCTCTGTTCATGTCTGGGTTTTCTCTGGGTACTCCAGCTTCCCCTTACAGACCAAAAGCATGACTGTTGGTAACTCTAATTTGTCCCTAGGTGTGAGTGAGAGAGTGATTGGATGACTATGTGTGGCCCTGTGATGGACTTACGACCTGTCCAGGGTGTACCCTGCCCCTCACACTGTGACTGCTGGATATGGGCACCAGTGGGTATATAGATAATGAATGGATAACAACTATAACAAAATAAAAATATAAAAATTGTTTATCCCAATTTTGATTTCTGGAGATCATCATAAAACCTGCAAAGGGTGTTTCACAAAGTGCAATCCTGACCTGAATCTTGAGAATCACTGTAAAATACTTGATAAAGAAGGATGTGCAGGCATGTTACTCATAACATAACGCCACTGTTGGAATTCAAATGCTTGATATAATTTCACTGTTATTTTTTTGTTTATTAGTTTTTTTCTTTTTTCTTTTTTTTGTCTGTAAAATCAATCAAAACTTATAAGAAATGATTTAAATATTCTGATTAAAATACAGATTAAAAGAAAAATTTTATATTTCAAGTTGATGACTCATCTTATCACTTCTGCCATTTAAAGTTGTAATTATAAATCATTACAAGACTAAGGAGTTGCTAAGCTGCTCCTCCACGTCGAGAGGAGCCAGTTGAGGTGGCTTGGGCATCTGGTAAGGATGCCTCCTGGACGCCTCCCTGGTGAGGTATTCCGGGCACGTCCCACCGGGAGGAGGCCCCGAGGAAGACCCAGGACACGCTGGAGATACTTTGTCTCTCGGCTGGCCTGGGAACGCCTTGAAGTCCTCGCAGAAG